TCTGATGGGTCTATCCCATTATATCAATTGGGTTTCAAAGAGGCCATCTTTAACAATTTTTCCTTTGGCCCCTACTTGTTGCATTTTGCTTAGTGCTGGCTGGGATAACCTGCAAATAACCTGGAACAACTGAGTTATTAGTAAATGCAGTAGAGAAACAAATCAGACAAGAATACAAGCTTTTACACAGAATCAAGATTTTTTAAAAAAGAAATAACATGAGCTAAAAATAAAAAGCAAAAAGGGAGCAGCTGAGGTATTTAATTTAGGAATTTGAGGGCAGTTTACTTTGACAAGGTTCACGTTGTTTTGCCCAATATTGTTCTTAGAACTCAACTTATTAGAGGTAAATATGTGGGTCATTGCTGCCATCAGAGTTTTAGCCTCCATAAGTAAATTAGCATAAAAACAGAATAACATACAAAAGAACACATATGACAATTACACTAAGACAGCAGTTACCACAAATACAATTTCATCACATAAAATGAAATTTAAGGGTGCATCACTAAGAGGTATGAAGGGATTTACTAGACAGAATTTTTTAAAGTGTACATTCAGAGAAATAGATTATGCATTCTAAAAAGGTATAGGGACACAGACATGGCCTTGAGGTTGGTATATCTATGAGGGACCTGGGCATGAAAAATCTGTAAAACTTGTGAGTTGATGGAAAGAGAAAAATTCAGTTTACAGGTAAAAGATGACAGCTCCTTATGTAAAAAAGGGTGATGGCCCATTCACAGGTTTAGCTATCAGAGGTAATAGACTGCATCCCACCCATAAGGGACAGGTCCATTTCACATGTGAAAATGGACACACTATTCACAGGTGGGAAAAAAAAGGCCTATTTACAGTTAAAAGAGAAGGGCCAGTGTTCATTTACAGACAGAAAGATACAGCTTATTGTGTCTTCAAAGACCTTAGGAATTTTTGACTGGGTTTGTGTCTTTCACCTGCAGTTTTTATTAAAAGTACAAGTATAAAATTATAATTTTCCTTGTCTCCTGTCTGCCTACCTCATTTCTCCCAATCTCCCTAATTCTCCCTCCCTGAAATCTCAATTCCTTAGTGTTAAAGGATGTTATCTGCACTAAATGTGCATCTTTTTAGCCTGTTTAGATAAAGGGTATTATCTACACTAAATGTGCATCCTTTTTTTAGCCTGTTTCAGGCTAAGTGGGATGTTGACCTTGCCTAGCCAAGGAACAAAAGTCCCATCCTGATCTAAAGAAGACAGGAAGATAATGTTGATTATCAGTAACCAAGGTTTGAAAAGGTTTTGCACAGTAAAAACCCAAACAAACAGAAAAGATCAACACAATGAAGAGACCACCCATAGAGTGTGAAAAAAAAATTGTCAGCCATTCTTCAAAGGACTAATATCCAGAATATACAAAGAACTCAAAAACACAGACTCCCTCTGATTTAAAGACCCAATCCACAAATGAACATCTGAAATGCATAAACACTTCTCAGATGATGAAGTAGAAATGGCAAATAAGTATATACAAAATTCAACATCACTGGTTGAGAAATGCAAATGAAAATAACACTTAGAGTCCATTAATCAACCAATAATAAGTGCTGCTGGGGCTCTGGGGAAAAAGAAATCCTTTTACACTGTGGGTGGGAGTGTGGAGTGGTGCAACAAATGTGGCAATACCTCAAAAAACTAGGACTATAGGTACCACTGATGTAGCTATTCCCCTCTTTGGTATCATCCCTAAAGAATTAAAAGCATCAAACCACAGCAATATATGTACACCCCTGTTTATAGCAGCACAGTATGTAATAGCATAATCTTGGAAACAGTCCAAATGTCCATCAACCAGTGAATGGATAAAAATACGGTTTTTTTTATACAATGGAATACTACTGTGCCATAAAAAGGAGACACCTGAGACATTTCTAGGTAAATGGGAGCACCTTGAGACCATAGGTTAAGTGAAACATATCAGACACACATGTGTAAATATTATGTGGTTTCTCTGGTGTGAGAATCTGAAAGGGTAAATAAGGACCAAAACATAAAACTGATATTGTGAAATAGGAAAAAAAATGTTCAAATGGGAAAAGGAACTAGAGAGAGGAGATGGGGAAAGGTAGGAAGGAAAAAGGAAAAAAATAGAAGAAAAAGAAACAAAGCTCTTGTAAATAAGGAGAGGAAGGTTTGAAGGGTTGGAGAAAAAAAGAATCAGCTGGGTGTGGCGGCCCATGCCTGTAAACCTAGCACTCAGGAGGCTGAGGCAGGAGAATTCATGTAGGTCTGAAGCCAGCCTGGGATACAAACTGAGTTCAAGGCCAACCTAAACTGCACAGTGAAATCTTATCTCAAAAAGTCAGACGAAAGAAAGGAAAGGAAAGGAAAGGAAAGGGAAAGGGAAAGGGAAAGGAAAAGGAAAAGGAAAAGGAAAAGAAAGGAAAGGAGAGAAAGAAAAAGAAAGAAAGAAAGAAAGAAAGAAAGAAAGAGAAAGAAAGAAAAAAAGAAAAAAAGAAAAAAGAAAAAGGAAAATTAAGATATATTATATACAGGTATAAATTCCCTATGATAAATGTTATCATTATGTATATCTTAAGTGTACCAATAGAATTTAAACAGTACACCTTATTAAATGAAATTAAAATTAATAATACATCAGCAGAAATATTTCTAAACAATAAATGCAGGTGTTATATGACCCTTATGATACTCCCTTAACCCAAAATTGACATGCTGTCCCAAGGGTAAGGATGCAGATATTTCAAATTCCAGACTCATCACTGGCTCATCTGGGTTTAGTCTTTTTTATTACCTCTACTGGTGTTGGAGCTCCCTTAAACCTGGGTTTTATTTCAGATAGTTATTTCTTCTCAGCAGACTTCACTGGCTCAGGTGCTTCCAACTATCATACCTACCTTTTGTACAACCTAAAACACTGAAGTCAGAAAAAAAAAAAAAATCAGTTGCTCTTCTCTTACAGCAAGCCCAATCTTTTCCCGTCATGGAAGACTGGAACACCTCGATGGTATGTGCAGACTTCATTGGAAACGGTTTTGAGATAGAAGTGCTGACAGCAGCCCTGGCTGTAGGAGAGCAGCCCATTTTCATTTGCTATCCTTACAAGCAAAGCATGCACACCATGAACAACTGTCGTTGGTGTCCTGCAACTATCCTGTAAGAAACTTAGGTCTGATAGCTATGGTACTGTCACCTCTCAGACTTTGGATTTTCAAAGGGGATTGGATCACGGGGGTGCTGTCCTCATTTGTGAACGAATTCACTGAAGGATTCAGGGTGGAATGTTCTTCTCTAAGGTAAGGGATAGTCAGAGGAGATGGCTCACTGGGGGCATATTAAAATTTGTGGAATGCAGCTAAATATGTGCACAGAACAAGACGCAAGGAAAAGAGCAAATTAATAGAAAATTAAACAAGAAAATTAGAAAACAGATGCTACAGCAAAAAAAAAAATGAAAAGATGTATGGAGACATTAGTAAATTAATTAAATTCCTAGATTAATTAAAGAACAATTATGAGTAGTAAGAAGGATGGATATGACATAACTACAGGTTCCACAGACATTAAGAGGAATATTATAACCAAGGCAAACAACTTAATCCTAAAAATAGATAAACTCCTGAAAAAAAAAATATCTAAAAAAAAAATTGACCGCAAAAATAAATGCAAAATTTGAATAGTTTTCTGTTAAAGAGATCAAATATATAATTAAAAATCCTTCCACGCTCACATATACAAAAGAAAACTCCAGGCCCAAAGAGCTGCACTAATAAATTCTACCAAACATTTTATTAAAGAACTGAACACTTTTATACACATTCTTACAGAAAATGGAAAGTGAGAACTTTTCCTAACTCTTCTCATCAGTCATCATATAAACACCAATAAAAGATTAATCTTTGACTCTAAGACCCAAGTCTAACTTTTCTAGGTCTTTCCAAATCTGCTTCTGTTTTCTATCGTCACTTGGCCAACAAACACCAATAAAAGATTAATCTTTGACTCTTAAGACTGAAGTCTTAACTTTTCTAGGTCTTTCCAAATCTGCTTCTCAGTTTTCTATTGTCACTTGGCCAACAAACACCAATAAAAGATTAATCTTTGACTCTAAGACCTAAGTCTAACTTTTCCAGGTCTTTCCAAATCTGCTTCTCAGTTTTCTATCGTCACTTGCCCAAGGGGCAAGGGAAAGTAGGGAGTACAGAAACAGCCCCAGAGTAAAAAGAGCCCAAGTTATGACAGTGGAATGGATGAGGAGGGCAAATATTTTTATTTGCTGAATAGGCATGCAGCCAGCCAAGACCAGTGCGAAGGATGAGGAACGGGAACATGGTCGACTATCTGAATACTATCTTGAGTAAGAGCAGTAGATTCATCTGGGGTCCAAACATTAAACCAGAAGAAGGTAGCAACTGGCAACAGAGCTGCACAAAAAATAATGGGAAGTGCTCAGAGACCCAAGTGAGACAGGAGATGCTGAGTTGGAACCATGGTTTTCAGGTCCTGGTCTTGAAGGGACAGGATATTTTATCTGCTTTCTCATTACTGAGAAACAATCCCAAATACCCATAACTGAAAGGAGAAATTTACTTTGGCTCATGGTTTTTAGAGGGTTCAGTCCCTGGTTGGCAGGCTCCAAGGCAAAAATGGCATGCTAGAAGGACCTGAATGGAGGTGGGGTGCTCACATCACAGGGGCCAAGATTTAACAGAGAACAAAGGTAGGAGTGGAAGGGAGATGTATCCCTCCTGGAAACCCCAGTGACTCACCTCTTCCAACCACACACCACTTCCAAACAGCACGTTCAGCCACTAAATTCACTAGAGTGCACTGGAGAGAACCATGCTCCCAGGACTCACTCACCTTCCATAAGCCCCAAATCTGAATACTTGGGTATTTTAGAAGAGCATTCAAGATCCAAGCCATAGCACAGAATGAGAGCTCTCTGGGTCGAGTTCTGAGGTGGAGGAAAGAAAAAGAAAAACACAGACTCTGGCAATTAAATTGTGCCACACAGTTTATTGACCTCCTCCACTGTAACCAGGCCTCAAATGGTGGAATCTTCATTTGTAAGTGAGACCTCAATAGTATCCATTGACTTCTGAGGGTATTCCTAGTTCCTGTGAAAAAAGATAAAACACATGTGGTTCAAGGTACTGATAGCAACTTCCATTCTATTGCAAAGCACACAAAGTACCTGCAAGTGAGAAATTCATGTGGCAGAGGAAAGGATTCTTAAAAGAGTATTTGAATTTTGTTTCTTCCTTTGTGCATACTAGTCTTAAAGTATGAGATTTGTGGTGGTGTACTGGTACATGTGTATAACATTTTGATCATTTATCTTCCTCACCCTTCTATCATCACACAATCTTCGCCCTCACAACTGGAAAACAGCCGTCTAGTTCCCTGTTCTCCTTTATGTTTGTTCTTACAATATTTTTATGTATTTATTTTTAGATTTCTTATAGAAGAGAAAGCATGTAGTTGTAAACATTTTGAGACTTATTTTGATTAACATGATAATCTCTAGTTCTGTCCATTTTTGCTACAAATGACATGATTTAATGATTATTCATATCTAAATAGTACTCTATTATGCATATATACATATTTATTTATCTTTCAATGGGCAGCTAGTCTGTTTGCACAACTTAGCTACTGAGAATTGTGCATCCATAAATATGAGTATGCATATGTGACTATGGTATTGTGCCACTAATTCTTTCAGGATTATACCAAGGGGTAGTAGTGCTGAATCAAGTGGCATTTCTATCTTTAGTTTTGTGAGGAAACTCTATACTAATTTTCAGTGGTTGTACTAGTTTACATTTTCACTAACAGTGCCAGCATTTCCTGTTTTTTGTTTCCTGTATAATAGACGCCTGAATGAAGTAATAAGGAGTCTCAATGTAGTTTTGATTTGCATTTTCCTACTGCTTAAGTATGTGGAACATTTTTCACATGCTTATTGGCTCTTGGCAGTTCTTTCTTATTTTGAGAAGACTCTTCAATTCACTTGGTAATTTACTGATTGGAGTATTTGTCTTTGTTATTAAGGTCTTTTGTGGTGTTTTTGAGACAGGGTCTCACTGTTGCAGGCTGCCTTGAAGTCACTTTGTAGGCCAGGCTGGCCTTGAACTCATGGCAATCCTCTTGCCTCACCCTCCTGAGTGCTGAGATCACAGGCATGCGCCATCACACCTGGCTTTGCATTCTTTATATATTCTAGATATAAATTCTCTATTAGAAGAGTAGATAGCAGAGATTTTCTCGCATTCTGGAGAGTGTCTATTCACGATGTCAATTGTTTCCTTTGCTGTGCAGCTTTTTAAATTGATACAATCCCACTTGTTGACTTTTCATACCCTTTCCTGCATTCTTTAGCAAATCTCCTCCTGCCTATGGCTTCAAGTGTTTCCCCTATGTTTCCTTCCAACAATTATAAAGTTTCCAGTCACATATCAACCTATTTTGTCAATTTAATTTAATTTTAGGACAGAAGGTAGGTATAACAGTCCAGTTGACCCTGCACTATTTCTTGAAAGGCAATCAGTTCTCTACTATATGCTTTTGGGATGTTTGTCAAAACTCAAATGTGTATAGGAAGATGATTTTATTGCCAACTTTTGTGTTCCGTTCCCTTAATATACATGTCTGTTACTGTGCCACTGCCATGTTGTTTTTGTTACCATGCTTTGTAGCAAATTTGAAGTTATTTCAATGCCTCCGGCACTGTTTTCCAGTTCATTAAGGATTGCTTTGGCTATGCTGAATCTTCTTTGATGCCATATGAATGTTAGAGTTGTTTTTTCAAATTTTGTAAATAATGCTATTTATATTTTGATAGGGACTTCAATAAATCTATGGACTGCTTTTGCTAAGATGGTCTTTTGGAAAAGGGTGGTCTTTCAATCTTCTAATATCTTCTTTGGTTTTGGGTTGTACAGTAATTTTCCTTATAGAGGTCTGTCACCTTCATGTGTAGGTTGATTTCTAGGTATTTTTTACTTTTTTAAAAGTATTATTACTGGAGCTGTTGTACTGATTTCTTTCTCATCTGGTTCATTGTAAGTGTATAGGAAAACGTGTGTGTGTGTGTGTGTGTGTGTGTGTGTGTATGTGTGTGTATGTGAAGGCTTTTTAATCTTGCCATTCTGCTGAATTTGTTCATCATATCTATGAGCCTTATGGTAGAATTTTAAGAGTCTTCTATACTAAAAAATCATAATATCTGCAAATAAGGAAAATTGACTTCTTCCTTTCCTATTTGTATTCTTTTCATTTTTTTCTCTTGCCCAGAGTCCTAGGTAAATTTTCAAGTACTACACAGAATATGGTGAGAGGGGATTCTTTTGTTTTGTTCCTGAGGTTAACTTTATTTTTAAATTTTCAAAAATTTTACTTTAAAGAGAAAAAAGATAAACAAAGAAACTGAGTTTCAAACAGGACAGTAGGACAGTTACAATAGTTGATATCCTGCATATTGTTGTCTTTGTAGTAGTTATTCAGAGTCCAGCATATAGGCATGATATTTTGTCTAAACAATATTAGTACAAAACATTCTTTTCAAGGAACAAAGAGAAGCTAGCTGTGTAACTATCTTAAATATCTTATGTATACATAGTTTCTTTTTCCCTTTCCCCTATCACATTTTGTCTTTTCTTTTGAACAGTTTCTTTCCAATTCACAATACCCCTTGTACATTTCAGATCATCCTACTTGTTCAGTTTCTCTCTAATGAGACAATACGGTTTTTACACATATGAGACTGACTTATTTCACTTATGAGTATGGTCTTGAGTTGCATCTATTTACTTATAGAAGTCTCTAGTTTATACTTCTTTATGGCTGAGTAACACACCATCATATTAAATGTACACTTCCAACAACATTGGAGAAGTTTTCCTTTTCCTTCATAGCCCCTCCAGCATTTGTTATTGGTTGATTTCTTGACAATAGCCATTCTTTCTGCAGTGAGATGGAATCTCAGTGTTTTAATTTGCATCTTCCAGATGACCAATGATGTTGAACATTTTCAAATATATTTCTTTGCCATTAATATTTCTTCATCTGAGCAGTGTGTATTCATCCCAGATGCTTATTTTTTAATTGGGTCTTTGAATATGGGGAGGGATTTTTATCAATTCTTTATATGTTCTAGATAAAAGTCCTTTGTCTGAGAGACAGTTGTCTGAAGTATTTTCCCATTCTGTGGGTTTTCTTTTCACTCTGTTGGTAATTTCTTTTGATGTGCAAAAAACTTTTTAATAAAATGAGATCCCAGTTGTTGATTCTTCAAAGTACTTCCCATGCAGTTTGGGTTTTGTTTATGAACTCTCTTCCTACTCCTATGTCTTCAAAATTTCTGCCTACTTTCTCTTCCCATAGATTTGGTGTTTCTGTTTTAATATTTAGATCTTTGATCCATTTTGCATTTAGTTTAGTGCATGGTGATAGGCATGGGTCTAGTTTTAGTCTTCAGCATGTGGAGAGCCAGTTTCTCCAGGACCATTTATTAAAGAGACTGTCTTTCTTTCAGTGAACATATTTGGCTCCTTTGTCAAAGATAAGGTGGCTCACTGTGTTTGGGGATGTGTCTGCATCTTCTATTCTATCCCACTGATCTTCGGGTCTGGTTGGTTTTTGTTTTTGTTTTTGTTTTTTTTTTTTGCCAGTACTATGAGGATTTTTATTTTTATCTCAGTAGCTTTGTAGTAGAACTTCAGGTCTGGGATTGTGATGTGCCTTGACTTGCCAGCGTTGCCCAGAATTGCTCTTGCTACTCTAGGTCTTTTCTGGTTCCAAATGAATTTAGGAGTGTTTCCTCTAGATCTGTGAAGTATGTTCACGGTATTTGATTGAGATTGCACTGAACCTGTGCAACAATTTTGGGACTATGGCCATTTTAGCTATGTTGGTTCTTCCTATCCATGAGCAAGGGATATTCCTCCATTTCCTGATATCCTCCTCAATCTCCTTTTTTAGGGAAGTGTAATTTGGACTACGTAGGTCTTTTGAATCCTTTGTTACATTGATTCCAAAGTATTTCATTTTATGGGATGTCATCATGAAAGGTGCTCTTTCCCTAATTTCTCTATCTGTGAGTTTGTTGCTTGTGTATAGGAATGCTATTGATTTTTGATTACTGACTTGTATCCTGCTACACTACTGAATTTGGATATTAAATCTACAACTTTTTGCTGGAGTTTTGGGGCCTTCTTTGTAGAGTATTATGTCATCTGCAGATAATGATAATTTAACCTTTTGCTTTACTATCTTTATTCCTTTCATTTTTTTTTCTTTCACTTTTCTAATTGCTGAGGTGAAATGATTTTGGAGCTATATTGAGTAGGAATGGTTGGTTATAATGTGCATCCTTGTCTTGCTCCTGATTTGAGAGTGAACACTTTCAGGTTTTGAACATTTAGTATGATATTAGGTGTTTGGTTTGCCACAGATGGCTTTTATGAGACTGAGGTAAAGACCATCTATTTCAATTTTTTTTATCATGAATGGGTGTTGAACTTTGTCACATGCCTTTTGTGCACCTCTTGAGATGCTCATGTGATTTTCACCTTTGGTTCTGTTAATATGGAATATTACATTTATTGATTTGCATATGTTGAGCCATTCCTGCATCCCTGGGATAAATCCAATTTGGTCAAGGTGCATAATCTTCTTGATGATTTGTTATATTCTGTTTGCCAGTATCTTATTAAGGATTTTCACATCAATGTTCATTAGGGAGATTGATCTGCAGTTTTCTTTCTTGTTTAGGTTCTCTGGTTTTGGAATCAGGGTAATAATCGCTTCCAGGAATGACTTTGGAAGTACCCCATCCCTTTCAATGTCTTGAAAGAGTTTTCTGCATTAGTGGCATTAGTTCTTCTCTAAATTTCATGTAGAATTTGACAGTGAATCCATCAGGGAGGGCCTGGAGTTTTCTTTGTTGGTACATTTTTAATTACAATTTCAATTTCACTTGCTGACAATAGTTTGTTTAGAATTTTTAAATCTTCTTGATTTAATTTTGGCAATTCAATTGTATCTAGGTATCTGTCCATTTCTTCTGTGGTTTCCAATTTATTAGAATATAGGTTCTAATAGTAGGTATTGATGA